GCAGCTGGATGCAATAATCGCATGCCAATGTGCATTGGCTCGTTTAGTTTACACTCGAAGTAGATTGGTCTCTCTAAGCGAGATCCCAATTCGTCGGTCATCCGACGTGACGTCGAGAGTGACAGACTGAAAGGGAACCATATTATAATTCATTATAATTAAAAAGATATCACATCAGTAAAAACTACAGAAAGATTGTTATTTTTCTTCTGGCAGTCTGAACCATTGTGGAATCACAGGTGAAGGTTGTGCTGCTCTGGCTTCAGCTCTGAGATCAAACCCTGAACACCTGAGAGATCTGAATTTCACTGAAAATAAGATAGGAGATTTGGGACTCAAGCACCTTTCTGATGTACTGAAAGAACCTCTCTGTAAACTGGAGAAACTGAGGTAAGATCATAATCAAGAACTTTAATCCATTTTATGTTCATGTCAATAAAAAAAATGTAAGACAAATCAGTACGGTTTTATTTCTTCTATTCAGGATCAAATTGATCAAAAGTGACAGTAAAGACATTTATAATTTTAAAAATTATTTCCATTTCAAATAAATGCTGTTCATTTGAACTATCTATTCATTAAAGAATCCTGAAAAAATGTTTCACTGTTTCCACAAAAATATGAAGCAGCACAACTGTTTTCAACATTGATAATAATCAGAAATGTTTCTTGAGCAGCAAATCAGTATATTAGAATGATTTCTGAAGATCATGTGACACTGAAGACTGGAGTAATGATGCTGAAAATTCAGCTGTGATCACAGGAATAAATTACATTTTAAAATATAGTCACATAAAAAACACTTCCTTTAAATTGTAATAATATTTCACAATATTACTGTTTTTACTGTATTTTTATAGTTTTGCATAAGGGACTCTTTCCAAATTTTTAAAACACAAAACATTTGAATGATAGTGTATGTGAAATATAGGTAAATAATTTTTACACAATACATTTTGAGATGCTTTGTCATAGTTTTGAAATGTTGTATTGTTTATGTAATACATCTATTTATGATGAATTTTCATAGTTTATTATTGATCTTCATAAGTATAACAAAAAGTAAACATTTCAAAATCTGATTTGTTTTCATAAAAATAAACTCCATAAAAGTGCCAAATAAACACACAATAATAGTGTTAGTAAATTTACTCGTAATCAACTATTGATTGAAAAAAAATTAGATTAACAAAGATTCTGTTATAGTATCTTTGTGACAATTATTTTTACAAAAAGTATGAGAGAGTGAAAATTGTCATTGTTCTCTGTAGGTTGTGTCAGTGTGGAATCACACCTGAAGGTTGTGCTGCTCTGGCTTCAGCTCTGAGATCAAACCCCTAGCACCTGAGAGAACTGGATCTGTCTCAGAATAAAATAGGAGACTCTGGAGCGACTGCTCTCTCTGCTGGACTGGAGAATCCTCACTGCAAATTAGAGAAACTGGGGTATAATGATTTGGATGACATGATACACCAATGTTTTTTCTGTAATGAAGATATTGCTAAACAGTGTGTTTGTTCGTTGCAGTTAAACAGTGTGTTTGTTCGTTGCAGTTAAACAGTGTGTTTGTTCGTTGCAGTTAAACAGTGTGTTTGTTTGTTGCAGGTTGAGGTTTTGTGGTTTCGTTGCAGTTAAACAGTGTGTTTGTTCGTTGCAGTTAAACAGTGTGTTTGTTTGTTGCAGGTTGAGGTTTTGTGGTGTCACAAATGAAGGTTGTGCTGTTCTGGCTTCAGCTCTGAGATCAAACCCCTCACACCTGAGACATCTAGATCTGACTCTTAATAAACTAGACCAAGGAGTCAGAGTCTCTACTCTACAGTGTATACTGGAAAAACTGAATAATCTGCTGTGAGTCATACATGTTAAATAAATGTTTACAAAGTATAAAACTGTACTTTCTAGAAGCACTGTAAATCAAACCTTTTTGAGCAAAACCAACCTTATAAACAGACTTCTTATATAAATAAAAGAAATTCATATGAATTTATTTGTGCTTATATTGATGAGACTGATCTGCGAGAATATCAGTAGGCTATTAGCAAAGATTTTACATGTTACTTTTTTTAATGGTGTTCGGCAGTGTGTAAATGAGTTAATGTTTCTGAAGTATATCTGCTGCTGCAATGTGACAGCAGTAATGTCTCATACTCATATGTGACTCTGTGTTTTATTTTAGGACTCTCAGTATTTAGACGTCAGTCCAGTTTCCTCAGGATCAGCTGATGGTGAATAAGGAGCTGCTAGAGAGATGCTACAGTCATATATATATATATATATATATATATATGTCTGTAGCCTCTCTCTCGCAGCTCCTTATTCACCAT